AACCCCGAACCCCTAAACCCTAAACCCTAAACCCTAAACCCTAAACCCTAAACCCTAAACCCTAAACCCTAAACCCTAAACCCTAAACCCCACAACAGAGAAGGTGACCGAGCTGCTGCGGCGGCAGCGCGTGGTGGGCAAGGTCGTGGAAGTCTTCGGAAGCGGCGCCGAAGCTTGGAGGCGTTTTGGCCCAGGCAGCCGGGAGGCCCGAGACTCGAAGCAGTTTAGGGTTTAGGGTTTAGGGTTTGGGGTTTAGGGTTTAGGTTTTAGGGTTTAGGGTTTGGGGTTTAGCGTTTGGGGTTTGGGGTTTGGGGTTTAGGGTTTTCTCCCAAACCACAACCCCCCAAGCTCTCGAAGAACCCTTCCTAAAACCCTTTTGGCCACCTAAACCCTCCACCCCACCGCCCAAACCCTGCTAAACCCCCTTAACCCTAGGTGTTCTGACTGAACTCCTTCGCGTTGGCCGCAAATGTCAACTTTGAACCCCGAACCGTAAACCCTAAATCCTAAACCCTAAACCCTAAACCCTAAACCCTAAACCCTAAACTCTAAACCTTAAACCCTAAACCCTAAACCCTAAACCCTAAACCCTAAACCCTAAACCCTAAACCCTAAACCCTAAACCCTAAACCCTAAACCCTAAACCCTAAACCCTAAACCCTAACCCTAGACAACCCTAAACAACCCTAAACCCTAAGCCCTAAGCCCTAAGCCCTAAGCCCTAAGCCCTAAGCCCTAAGCCCTAAGCCCTAAGCCCTCAGCCCTCAGCCCTAGACCCTAAACCCTAAACCCTAAGCCTGAAACCCTAATCAACCCTAAACTCTTAGCCCTAAGCCCTATGCACTAAGGCCTAAGCCTTAGACCCTAAACCCTAACTCTAAACCCTAAGCCCTAAGCCCTATGCTCTAAACCCTAAGCCTTAAACCCCCAAGCCCTTAAGCCGGTTTGTTCTCAGGAAAGCCTGGCCGTCACCGATCGCTTGACTGTGGCCAACATGGCGCCGGAGGGGCCTGGGTTTAGGGTTTAGGGTTTAGGGTTTAGGGTTTAGGGTTTAGGGTTTAGGGTTTAGGGTTTAGGGGTTTAGGGTTTAGGGGTTTAGGGGTTTAGGGTTTGTGGTTTAGGGTTCGGGCTCACGGGTGTGAGGTTTAAGGTTTCAGGCTTCAGGGGATATAGAGATTTTAGGGGTTTTGGGGGGTCCAAGGATGCATGGTGAGAATGGGAGCCCTAGAGCTTACGCTTGCCTCAAGCTTCGAACGCGAGACCCTGAGCCCTCAGTTAAACAAACTCTGAACCCTAAACCCCAAACCCCAAACCCCAAACCCCAAACCCCAAACCCCAAACCCCAAACCCCAAACCCCAAACCCTAAACCCTAAACCCTAAACCCTAAACCCTAAACCCTAAACCCTAAACCCTAAACCTCTCTATCATATGATAAATTCAACTTTAATGGCTTCGTGGTTCAAGGCCAAAAACTCGTGGTTCAAGGCCAAAAACTCGTGGTTCAAGGCAAGTCGTCGTTTTTGGCCTTGAACCACGAATTTTTGGCCTTGAACCACGAATCTTGGGGCCTTGAACCACGAATGTTTGGCCCAAATCGTTCGTGGTTCAAGGCCAAAACTCGTGGTTCAAGGCCAAAAGCTCGCGGTTCAAGGCCAACAATTGGTGGTTCAAGGCCAAAAATCGTGGCTCAAGGCAAAAAACTCGTGGTTCAAGGCCAAAAACTCGTGGTTCCAGGCAAGTCCTCGTTTTTGGCCTTCAAGGCCAAAAATTGGTGGTATATGGCCTTGGGATCAGAGCTCCTCTGCCCTTGTCGCTGAAACCCTCGCGGAGCGGAGCCCGGCCCCAAACCCCATCCTGCACAATCCTAGGGCTCAGCTTTTTGCTTTGAGGGGGGGTTTAGGGGGGTTGTTCCAGGGTTTTGGGGGGGCTTCAGGTCCCAGCACAGAGCTCATCCGATGGGCCCGCGCAGGCCCAACCCAGGGTGACCGCTCCACCGAGGCCATTGGAGGTTTTCCATGTGCGGACTATCATCGTTTTGATTGAGAAAGCGATACCTAGTTAACCCCAAAAATGATACTTTAAATGAAATGTCTCAGTCATGGCCTCTAGGTTTTGCCGCACGCCCATGTCAAGCATACGTAAGTCTTCAAAGTTGATTTTGTCTTGGCTTTGGCAACGTAGTCGTAGTTTTCATTTTGGTGGTTTCCGCGTTTGGCAATGTCGTGTGAAGCTCACATGCTGTTTAGGAGCCTACGTTCGCCCAGAATTTGCCAGGCATGCGTGTGTTTGGGACTTGCCATGGCCTTTTCAGACCCTTGTCATGAATCCCTGAGGCCCTAAGGCCCCAAGAGCCATGAAGAGCTGGCGGTGGAAACTTTCATTCAGCCACTTATGAAGCCCATGACCTGCATGAGCCAGGGGGGCGGGTTTCGTCAGGAAGCTGCAGCCTTGGAATTGCAACTCTGATATCCCTTCTCTCCGTGGTCTCGCTTGGCCTTAGTTCTGCTGAATTTCCCTGGTTGTCAATGGTTTTCAATAGTTTTCTTTAGCCCTCACCAGCCCTCAATAGCCCTCAATAGCCCTCAAATGCTCTCAAATGCTCTCGGCGGGCTTTCGCTGCCTCTTGCGCCCTACTCTGCCATCGAATTCTCTGAGTGTGCAACGCCGACCAAATCCTGACTGTTGCCGTCGAAACGAAGTCAATCAGGGTATTCAGAATAGCACACAGCACCCAACCCAGATGACACACCCTGCGGGTTCCGAGCCATAAATGAAAGTTTCGTTGTTTGGGATACACATGTTGTATCCCGAAGCCCTCCCACCCAACCAGTTCCAATGCATCCCAAGTTAAGTTGATGTCCTGGGGCGTGCGGGGTTTGCAAGGTTAGGCTGGAACCTTATGTTGTTAGAGCGCAGAATGTACATGTTCGAGGTCCTTCCTCTGTATTAATTATTAGGTCCAATTAGTTGAGCCCCCACTGCAAGTTGTCTTTTCAAATGCTCTCGTGAGGTTCTCTGTTTTGGGGGTGCGTTTTTGAGGTACCCCCCCAAACTTTCTGTGATAGTGAGGTCAGCTCAGGAGGCGGCGACTCTAGCCCTCAAAGACTCCTACTTCTTTCACTTGCAGGTCGGGTGGGACGGGCGTTGGTATCTGGGGTTTCTCTTTGGGGGTTGCTCTTGCGCATGTGTGTGTGTGTGTGTGTGTGTGTGTGTGTGTGTGTGTGTGTGTGTGTGTGTGTGTGTGTGTGTGTGTGTGTGTGTGTGTGTGTGTGTGTGGGTGTGTGTGTGTGTGTGTGTGTGTGTGTGTGTGTGTGTGTGTGTGTGTGTGTGTGTGTGTGTGTGTGTGTGTGGTGTGTGTTGTTGTGTGTGTGTGTGTGTGTGTGTGTGTGTGTGTGTGTGTGTGTTGTGTGTGGTGTGTGTGTGTGTGTGTGTGTGTGTGTGGTGTGTGTGTGTGTGTGTGTGTGGTTGTGTGTGTGTGTGTGTGTGTGTGTGTGTGTGTGTGTTGTGTGTGTGTGTGTGTGTGTGTGTGTGTGTGTGTGTGTGTTGTGTGTGTGTGTGTGTGTGTGTGTGTGATGTGTGTGTGTGTGTGTGTGGTGGGTGTGTGTGTGTTTGTGGGTGTGTGTGTGTGTGTGTGTGTGTGTGTGGTGTGGTGTGTGTGTGGTGTGGTGTGTGTGTGGTGGTGTGTGTGTGTGTGTGTTGGTGTGGGTGTGTGGTGGTGTGTGGGTGTGTTGTGGTGGTGTTAGTGGTGTGTGTGTGTGTGTGTGTGTGTGTGTGTGTGTGTGTGTGTGTGTGTGTGTGTGTGTGTGTGTGTGTGTGTGTGATGTGTGTGTGTGTGATGTGTGTGTGATGTGTGTGTGATGTGTGTGATGTGTGTGATGTGTGTGATGTGTGTGATGTGTGTGATGTGTGTGATGTGTGTGATGTGTGTGATATGTGTGATGTGTGTGATGTGTGTGATGTGTGTGTGTGTGTGTGTGTGTGTGTGTGTGTGTGTGTGTGTGTGTGTGTGTGGTGTGTGTGTGTGTGTGTGTGTGTGTGTGTGTGTGTGTGTGTGTGTGTGTGTGTGTGTGTGTGTGTGTGTGTGTGTGTGTGTGTTTATATATATATATATATATATATGACAGGCATCATGAAACACGTTTGACAAGTGCGGTGTAAGGTTCCATGAAACAAATGTCATTCGTTGTTTGCACGTGGCGATAAGACAAAGCTTTTTTAGGTCGAGAGCAAACGAAATGGTTGTAAATTCCCAAATCCGGCCAAACCGTGCCAGGCGAGGCCGACAGCTCGAGAGAGCGCCCCGCCGGCGGCGCGAAGCTGAGTTTGCCGTCGCATGGCCTGCCGGCGCCCACCAGAACCCCAAACCCCCCCCTACATGGTTTCGGGTTTCAGGGGATGCGCCCTCAGGTTTTTTCTTGAAGGGCTGGACAGCTGAGATGTGGTCTAGAGTTTGGTACCGTCGAAGCGGGCTTCCCACGTGCGGGTCTCGGGTTTGCGGGTTTAAGGTGTTGAGGGTGTATGTGTTCCACTGTTTAAGGCTTACGCGTGAAAGGGCCCAAAACAAGCCCCTGGCAGCTTTCAAAATGCCCTTGAGGCATCAAACACGCGAAGCCCCGAAAGACCCCAAAAAAGCCTACGAGGCACCAAAAGGCCCCGGAAGGCCCCAAAAAGGCCCCAGGAACGCCAGGAGGCCCCAAAGACTTTTGAGCCTTTTTGGCGACCGCTCGCAAAATAGCCTCTGACAGAGACACCGACGAGAACCGAAGACAAGACTCAAAACATGGGCATCTTCCCAGCCTCCAGGCATTCTTCGCTGCTTCACACTCTTGCTTCAGCACCGCGTGGTCTAAAGCATATCCAAGGGTCGACCTTGGGTGATCAGAGACGGTGGCCCATGTCGCTCGCACCATCGTGCGAAAGAAGAAGTTGCAGACTCTATGCAACAGAGTGTCCGCGGAGTAGAAAGATATGCTGGCAAGTCTTCACTGGCATTTATGCAATGCCAACCACAGAGACCATCCGGGGGAACTGGAACGAGATCTCCAGGCAATGTGGCCTGGAGCAGGAATGTCTTTCAAGGCCAATTAGTCGTGGTTCAAGCCCAGAAATTCGCGGTTCAAGGCCAAAAAGTCGTGGTTCAAGGCCAAAAACTCGTGGTTCAAGGCCAAAAACTCGTGGCTCACGGCCAAAAACTCGTGGTTCAAGGCAAGGCTTAGGGTTTCAGGGTCTCATGGCCTAAGGTTTAGGGTTTCAGGGATTCAAGGCTTGAGGTTTAGGGTTTCAGGGCCTCAAGGCTTGGAGTTTAGGGTTTCAGGCCTCAAGGCTGGGGTTTTGGGTTTTAGGGCCTCAAGGCCTGGCGTTTAGGGTTTCAGGGCCTCAAGGCCTGGGGTTTCGGTCCTGGGGAGGCCAACGCTGAGATGCAATGGCAAGAACATGAAGTTAGTGATATAAGGTGTTTTTGTTGTGTCCGTTCGTTTAGGCCTGTGATGCTGAGATGATTAGAGAATACTTGTAGTTTTGTTTTCTCAATGTTATGGGATTCTCTGGGTGGGTGGGTGTTATGTCAGAGCCGTAAATATAAATCGTAAAACTGCTCGATCCGGAGCTGCTGAACTCTAAACCCTAAAGCCTAAACCCTAAACCCTAGACCCTAAACCCCAAACCCCAAACCCTAAACCCTAAACCCTAAACCCTAAACCCCAAACTCAAGGCCTAGGCCGCCCCCCTACGTTGGGGGCGGCGCCTAAGCCCCTCCACCTCACGATCGGGCCGTGGCCGCCCTTCGCATTAAACCCTAAACCCTCAACGCCCTCAACCCTAAACCCGAAACCCTAAACCCTCAACTTCAGGAGGCTCGAAACCTCCAGGCCCTCCACCCTTACCTGGGAGCCCTGGTCCCAGGAGTGCGGGGCGACCTGCATACTCTTCCCAGTCGACACCAGGCTTTGGCCTTTTTTTGGGTTTAGGGTTTAGGGTTTAGGGCGTAGGGGGGTGGGGTTCTTACTTAGCGTTGGGGGGGTGATAATGAATATACGAACATAGGGGACCCCTACAAAAGACCCCAAAATAGCAGGATTCCCGTAGAAGAAGGTCCCCAAGAAGGTACCTCGAGTTGAGAAAAAACCCCTATCTTCACCCCCTCAACACCCCTTGTCACCCCTCAGCCTGTACATATTAAAACTTAAAAGCCCTAAACCCTAAACCCTAAACCCTAAACCCGAAACCCTAAACCCTAAACCCTAAACCCGAAACCCGAAACCCTAAACCCTAAACCCTAAACCCTAAACCCTAAACCCTAAACCCTCACCAGCTTGAGTTAAGGGATGCAGGGGCTACTTGGTTCACCTGGTTTGTAGGGTTCTAAGTAGGGCAACCTCCTACTAGCCCCACACTGTAAGTACCCAGTAACTTGGCTTTTCTTCTGGCTGGCCCTTAGGACTTTAACCTTTTGGGTTTGTTTGTAGAAACTACAAAAAGGAGCCTAGAAGTTCAATTTTTCGGCGGGGCTCAGACGTCAGCCAAGGGAAAGCTGGGATGTAGGGCTGCGTGACAGGACCCTGGAGTACTTGCAGAAGACCGGCCGAAAGCAGTCGCACGTGGATCTGGTGGAGGAAGCTTGGGTTCGGCTGCCCAAACCCTAAACTCCAAACTCCACACCCCAAACCCGAAAGCCTGAACCCTAAACCAAAGCCTAAACCCGAAACGCCAAACCCAAAACTCGAAATCTTGGGGTTGTTGGGGGCCCTTCCGGTCCAGGTACTTCATGGATGGGCAGCCCGAAACCAAACCCTAAACCCTAAACCCTAAGCCCTAAAAGCCCTAAAGCCCTAAAGCCCGATAGGCCCGAAGCACGAAACCCTAAACCGCCCTGGCTGCGGTGGACGGGTGAGGTGTGGATTCGAGGATGAAGAACAAAGGGTTTCCCGGAAGCTGAAAAGCCTGAAACCCTAAATTCCGACCCGGCCTGCTTAGGCCGTACCCACCCTTTACAAGGGTGCCTGGAACCAGAAGTGATGGACACCTTTACTGGATGGACAATGGGTGGAGCCATTGGAGAATGGTCGAATATAGAGGATCCAGGGCTCGCCTCGTCACCGGTACTCACTGACCGTTCTCGATCTTGGCCAGGGATTTCGTTGGCCAAAGTCTGCTAACTCTTGCGGAGCCAAAAACTGCCACCTGGTTTGTTACGTCCCCCCACCCTTCCCCACCCCCCCCCCACCCCCCCACCCCCCACCCCCCCCCCCCCCCCCCACCCCCCCACCCCCCCACCCCCCCCCCCCCCCCACCCCCCCACACCCCCCATCCGCCCCTCCCCCCCTCCCTTGACCCTACCCTCACCGCGGCCCTCGATCGACAGTCCAGCTTCTTCTCCCTCACCTGAGCCCCGCCCCGCTACGCCTTTGTGAAAAAGCAATGGTGGGAACTGAGGGCGACAGCAAAAGGTCACAGCGGTGGGGAGAAAGAACCCAGCACCAATGAAATTGCCCGCTGGGTGTGTAGGGGCGCCATGGTACTTACTGTCCAAGAGACGCCTGGGGAAGGCCGCTGCGAGACTCTTGAGACGCTGAGGCCTCTCAGGCCTTTCAGGGGCCTTTTAGGGGGTTTTAGGGGCATCTCAGGGGCAAAAACATCAAAAAACCTTGTCCAGCAAAGAAGTCGCAATCGGGACAGCCTCCAAGGGGGGCCTAGAGCAGCCTGGGAGGCCCTTTGGGCCCTGCCCTTGAAAAGGCTCTCAAATAAGAGGAATTGCAGGCCCTAACTAAGGCTTCAGGCCCTGGAAGGCCCCTAAAAGGGCCCTGCGAAGGCCGGGTCTTTCGACGCTTCGAGTGAAAAACAATGAGAAGGCCCTCTGGCCAAAAACACACCCCAACGCAAACGCCGATTTGGCTCTCGCAAGCTTCTAGACCTGTTTAGCAAAGGGTCTATCGCCATGCAACCTTTATGCTCCCGCATAGAGAAGAAAAAACAATGAGAAGGCCCTCCGGCCGAAGACACCCCCCAACGCAAACGCTGATTTGGCTCTGGTAAGCTTCTAGACATGACTCTCACAAGGCCTGTTCATATCAACACCATGACACCCCGACGTCGAGAATAGAAACAATGAGAGGGCCCTCCGGCCGAAGACACCCCCCAACGCAAACGCTGATTTGGCTCTCGCAAGCTTCTAGACATGACTTTCGCAAGGCGTTTTTATGGCAACAACTCTTTCGCCATGCAGCCTTGACACCCCGACATCCAGAATGGAACAATGAGAAAGCCCGCCCAATGCAAAACCCAATTTTCTCTCTCGAAAGCTCGACATCTAACATCTTTTCCAAGGCATCTTCTCAGATGTCACCTTGCAAAAATCAAGGCATCAGGCTCCATGACATAAGGCAGCGTGCTAGATGTTAGTCCGAAGTATAGCGTTGAGTGCAGAAGTGTTTGGATGCGGGCTGGCTTGGATTTGGCTGGCTCTTTTTTGGCTCGTTTTGAGTAGTGCTTGGGTGGCCTTGGGGTGGGCATGTCTGCACACAATTGCGTACAGCTGACCACTGCTACACCCTAAACCCTAAACCCTAAACTAGTAAATTTCACCGAGGAGGGTTGGCAGTTCTTGGAATACCCGAAGTAGCGGGGATATGGTCCGCCAGAAATTTGTGCAGTGTTGCTGCCGCTGCAAGCGTTTGTTGTTAAGAAAGACCGATTTTTGCTTAGAATGTTTTGGCTTGTGCGTTTGCAGACTTGCGCAGTTGAATCACCTCATCACCGCACCGTCTCAGCCGGCAAAACCACCCCAACCTTTCCTTTTAGGGTTTAGGCTTGAACTCAATTCAACAGCCCGCTTCCAAAACTGCTTCCAGTGTCAGAGATCCAGAGAGACCCGTCCCAGAAGAAAGCAGGAAGGTCCTAGGAAGGTCCCAGTGGGGGGGGGGGAGAGGGGCATTCGTTCGGAGGCCAGGGCGAAGGCGTCCTGTTCGTTCCTTTCGAAATTCCAGAGCGTCCACTCTTGTCTGCTGCGAGAAACTGGTTTAATCCCTATTCCCCTCCTGTATGTAGCGTGCTTAAAACGGCGACCTTGCCCAGTAAAACGGCGACCTTGCCCAGTAAAACGGCGACCTTCGGGGCCGAAGGTAGCATTTTTACTGGGCAGGGGGGGGGGTGTCCGAAGGTCGCCGTTTTACTGTTACTGGGCAAGGTCGCCGTTTTACTGGGCAAGGTCGCCGTTTTACTGGGCAAGGTCGCTGTTTTACTGGGCAAGGTCGCCGTTTTACTGGGCAAGGTCGCCGTTTTACTGGGCAAGGTCGCCGTTTTACTGGGCAAGGTCGCCGTTTTACTGGGCAAGGTCGCTTTACTGGGCAAGGTCGCCGTTTTACTGGGCAAGGTCGCCGTTTTATTGGGCAAGGTCGCCGTTTTACTGGGCAAGGTCGCTGTTTTACTGGGCAAGGTCGCCGTTTTATTGGGCATGGGCAAGGTCGTTCTATAAGTAAAATATTTTCTTAATGTTGTGGGATTCTTTGGGCGGGTGGGTATTTTCCTGGAGTAATTGCTTGACTAGTGAATGCTTGGACTTGAGATGCTGAACCCTAAACCCTAAACCCTAAACCCTAAACCCTAAACCTTAAACCCTAAACCCTAAACCCTAAACCCTAAACCCTAAACCCTAAACCCTGCTGCCACACTCTTGGACATTGAGGTCTTTAGGACTTTCCTCTCAAACAGCTACTTCATGGCCATCACCACGCCTAAACCCTAAACCCTAAACCCTAAACCCTAAACCCTAAACCCTAAACCCTAAACCCTAAACCCTAAACCCTAAACCCTAAACCCTAAACCCTAAACCCTAAACCCTAAACCGAACAGGAGTACTACCGCGCCAGCGACTTGTTCGGGCCCGGGGCTTCCCAAGGCGTCAGCTACTCCTCAGTGACCAGGCGTTCACATCAGCTTTTCTAGGCCTTCGGGGTTTAGGGTTTAGGGTTTAGGGTTTAGGGTTCAGGGTTTAGGGTTTAGGGTTTTTTCTAGACCTTCGGGGTTCGGAACAAGGGCTTAGGTCCTGGGGTTGAGGCCTGTGCGGTCTTTGGTTCAAAGTCTTATTTAGGGTGTATCGGTAAGTTCTGTAAAAGCCTACTTGAAAGGTTAAGGGGGGGTCTAGGGCTTGCAGTAGGGGTGAAGGGGGTTCAAGGCTTTGTCGGGGTTTAGGGTTTAGGGTTTAGGGCCTTAGGGTTTAGGGTTTAGGGTACAACTCCTGATGCATATGCCCTTGTCTGTGACCTAAAATCAACCTCGACCTCCTAGGCGCGTGGGTAGTCCCTCAGCTCTAAGCCCTAATCAAAGGCAACCCATAATTTATGTGGGACCCTGAACCCCAACCCTAAACCCTAAACCCTAAACCCCAAACCCCAAACCCTAAACCCTAAACCCCAAACCCTAAACCCTAATAAACCCTAACCCCCTAAACCCCCTAACCCCCTAAACCCCCTAAACCCCCTAAACCCCCTAAACCCCCTAAACCCCCTAAACCCCCTAAACCCCCTAAACCCCCTAGACCCCCTAAACCCCCTAAATTTAAGAGCCTCCGGCTCAAGCCGCCGACCCCGCTGGAGCATAGCTGAGAGGTCTAAACCCGCTCGCATGGTTCGAAGATCCCAGCCTGCTCGGCAGAGTTGGGGGGGGTTAGGGGGCAAGCCAAAAAGACGGGGGGGGGGGGGGGGGGGGGGGGGGGGGGGGGGGGGGGGGGGGGGGGGGGGGGGGGGGGGGGGGGGGGTGATTTTGCTGAGGGCGCCCCTACCCGTGCTGAACCGCCTGTTTACGCTGTGCGGGTGGCGCGGTCCTCCACGAAAAAATTGTGCACCGACCCCCCCTACCCCCTCCCCCCCTCCAAATTTTGGGGGGGTAAGGAGGGAAAGAGGGAGGTTCTCACCTCCTCAAACCCATCCAACACGCCGCCAGGGTCGGCGGACCCCCTAAACCCCAAACCCTAAACCCCAAACCCTAAACCAAACCCTAAACCTAAACCCTAAACCCCAAACCCCGAGGCCGTGCACCTTGACCTGTCCTCGGTGGTGCCGTGTATGGCTGGTCCGAAGCGGCCCCAGGACTGGCAGGGCTATAGGGTTTAGGGTTTAGGGTTTGGGGTTTAGGGTTTAGGGTTTAGGGGTTAGGGTTTTGGGGCTTTAGGGTTTAGGGTTTGGGGTTTTAGGGTTTGGGGGCTTTAGGGCTTAGGGTTTAGGGTTTTAGGGGTTTGGGGTTTTGGGGCATTAGGGTTTAGGGTGTTGGTGCTTTAGGGTTTAGGGTTTTGGGTTTTGGGGTTTGGGGGCTTTAGGGCTTAGGGTTCAGGGTTTAGGGTTTCAGGGGTTTGGGGTTTTGGGGCTTTAGGGTTTAGGGTGTTGGGGCTTTAGGGTTTTGGGTTTGGGGGCTTTAGGGTTTAGGGTTTGGGAACTAGGGTTTGGGGATTGGGGTTTGGGGTTTAGGGTTTGGGGTTGAGGATTTAGACGTCTGGGACTTTACCCACCCCCCCGCCCGAACCGCCACCCCGCAGGATCGTGTGCCGCTGAGCGATATCAAGCAAAGCTTTCGAAGTTCGCTGACGCACCCGGCAGGCCTTTTGGTCAGGGGAGGGAGTATCGAGGGTTGAATGACGCCACTCGAGAAACCCCAACCTCATAAGTTGGGCGGCATTGGGCGGTTAACTCTTCTTGAGAGACAGGAGTACTGGTTTCGGGGCTTAGGCCTTTAGGTTTATCCCGAGCCCCCACTTCGTAAACCCCCTAAATCCACTGAACCCCTAGACCTTGAACCCCATCTCCCAAACCCCGAGAACCGAACTCTTGGGTCTAAGGTTAACTTCAAGGATTGAAGCCACAGTCGCTCGCCTTTCCGAGACACCACAAGCCAAAATCTCCAAATCCCCCCTAAGCCGTAAACCCCAAAACCTGAACCCTAAACCCTGAACCCTAAACCCTACACCCTGAACCCCTTTAGCCCAAATCCTAGAGCCCTACGACCCTGAAGTCTCCCCTCCAAATCCCTCAAGGCCACTCGGGCTTCGGGCTTTCCTCCGACGCCCTGGCTCCCCAGGCCGATGGGGGGAGCTTCGGGTCATGTTGGGGGGTTAAAAAACCTTAAACCCTAAACCCTAAACCCTAGACCCTAAACCCTAAACCTTAAGCCCGAAACCCTAAAGACCGAGAGTAGGCCCTTATTCGGTTTCTTCAGGGTTCAGGTTCCCTTTCAGGCCTGTTTAAACCCAAAAAAGGGGCAAACCGTGGGCCTGGAATTTTGGGTTTAGCGGTTGTAGGGTTTAGGGGTTTGGATCTTGGGCCTTTAGGGTTTAAGGTTTAAGGCTCAGGGGTTAAGGTTGTGGGGTTTAAGGCTTAAGGTCCAGAAGGCTTAGGTGTAAACCCTAAACCCAAAACCCTGAACCCTAACCCCCTAAACCCCCTAAACCCCCTAAACCCCCTAAACCCCCTAAACCCCCTAAACCCCCTAAACCCCCTAAACCCCCTAAACCCCCTAAACCCCCTAAACCCCCTAAACCCCCTAAACCCCTAAACCCTAAACCCTAAATCCCTCCAGGTGGTGGAGGTGGAGCAGCGCTCGGTGACGGTCCAGCACGGCCAGCTGGCCATCGCGGTGCCGCGCTTGGGTAGACCGGGGCTTCCGTGGACCCTAAACCCTAAACCCTAAACCCTAAACCCCAAACCCTAAACCCTAAACCTTAAACCCTAAACCCAAACCCTAAACCCTAAACCCTAAACCCTAAACCCTAAACCCTAAACCCTAAACCCTAAACCCTAAACCCTAAACCCTAAACCCTAAACCCTAAACCCTAAACCCTAAACCCTAAACCCTAAACCCTAAACCCTAAACCCTAACCGCTAAACCCTAAACCCTAAACCCTAAACCCTAAACCCTAAACCCTAAACCCTAAACCCTAAACCCTAAACCCTAAACCCTAAACCCTAAACCCTAAACCCTAAACCCTAAACCCTAAACCCTAAACCCTAAACACAACACCTTAAAGCCTCAAGCCTAAACCCAAAAACGGAAGGCTTTAACCCGATGGAAGCTTCCTCAGGGGCTCTCGCTGCGAGTGTTGAGAAGATTTTGGCTTAGAGGTCTAAGGTTCAGGCTTCAGGTAGGGTTCAGGGTTTAGGGTTCAGGGTTTAGGATTGTACGGTTGGCTTTGAGCCTTTGAGTTTATGGTGCAGGTTTTGGAATCAACCCTAAAACCCCTTTGGGGTTGAGGGCTGAGTATCCCACGCCCTAAGCCCTAAACGGCGGGGCCTCGAGGCAGGGGACCCGACCACCGGAAGTCCTCCATTGATAAGATACTTAAACCCTGCGAATAGTATTCCCTTATGGCCCCTGTGTACCTGTACTAGAATCACCCCCCCAAACCCCTATTCTAACTATTCAGGCCCCTGTATGAGAGCTTTTGGCTCTGGAGGAGGGTCTGGTTCGTGAATGAAGGGGGTCGTCGGGGTTCTGTTTGGGCGCTCCAGGGCCTGCGTTACAGTTAGGGTTTAGGGTTTAGGGTTTAGGGTTTAGGGTTTAGGGTTTAGGGTTTAGGGTTTAGGGCTTTAGGCGCGCCCAGTTCAGGGTTTCGTCTAGGGGTAGTTTAACTGGGCCCTGGGTAGGGGTAGAAAAGGGGCCCCTTTCGACCATGTAACTACCCGAAGATTTCGGGGGACGGAGAAACTCCATCCTTCATGGGCCTAGGGTTCAGGGTTTAGGTTGTCGGGCATTTTGGTGCGTGCCCCAAGCAGTAAGGAAGGAATCGGAATCGAGACCCTTAAAAATGACGAGTCGCAACTCTGAACCCTAAAACCCTAAGCCCTGAACCCCCAAAGAAAACTGAAGCTCCTGCACGAAATACCCCAAACTTAAACCCTAAACCCTACACCCACCCTACACCCTACACCCTACACCCTACACCCTCCCTACACCCTACACCCTACACCCTACACCCTACACCCTACACCTACACCCTACACCCTACACCCTACACCCTACACCCTACACCCTACACCCTACAACCTACACCCTACACCCTACACCCTACACCCTACACCCTACACCCTGAACCCTAAACCCTGAACCCTAAACCCTAAACCCTAAACCCTAAACCCTAAACCCTAAACCCTAAACCCTAAACCCTAAACCCTAAACCCTAAACCCTAAACCCTAAACCCTCCCCTCTCAACTCGGCCCAGAGGCCATCACGAGCTGCACCAACACCAGCAACCCCTCGGTACTGCTCGCTGCGGGGCTCCTGGCCAAGAAGGCTGCTCGGTCTAGGGTTTTAGGGTTTAGGGTTTAGGGTTTAGGGTTTAGGGTTTAGGGTGTAAGGGTTTAGGGTTTAAGGGTTTAGGGTTTAAGGGTTGAGGGTTGAGGGTTGAGGGTTGAGGGTTGAGGGTTGAGGGTTGAGGGTTGAGGGTTGATTGAGCTCTTCGAAGACTGGTTTGGGTGCCTAGATCCCTCCCCCCCAAAAAAAATGCCGACAAACTAAACCCTAAACCCTAAATCCTAAGCCTAAACCCTGAACCCTGAACCCCAAACCCTAAACCCTCAACCCTCAAACCCTAAACCCTGAACCCTGAGCCCGCACCCCAGGAGTTCAAAGGGCTTCCCTGGTACGCAGGCCGTGCAGCGGGGCTTGCGCACCCCAGGGCACGTGAAGACGTCGCTGGCGCCAGGATCGCGGGTCGTGACGCGGTACTTGGAGGCTGGGTTAGGGGGAGATTTGCTGGGCCTAGTGTGTAGTGTTCAGGCATGTTCAGGGTTTAGGGCTTGGGCTCCAGGGTTGCTGGTTTTGGGGGCTCCGGTTTGGGGTTGAGGGGTTCTGCTGTGTTAGGCTGTTTTGGATACCTTGGGGTTAGGGACTCAGTCAAGAATTGGGGACCAGCAAACCCTAAAGCCTACACCATCGCTATGTTCCGCATCAGCCGAACCAAAGAAACGCTGTGTTTTCTTTGTGTTTGTAGCTGGGTTTTGCTGTTCTGGCGCCTGAAGAACATTTTCACAGTGCTTGTGAGAGCAGGTGAAGGTGAGGTATTACGGCTCGGTGTCGGGTCTTAGGCACTTGAGTTGGGCTGAACAGTGTACAGAATTGTCTTCTATTATTAGTTCTCATTCCATCACAGCACTCTCTCATCCATCAGCGCAATCTACATGAGGGTTTACGAAAACAGGGGACACCTAATTTCGTCCCCAAATAGTAGGATTCCCTTAGAATACGGGCCCCAATAGGGTACCCCCAAATTCGGAACCCTCAAATGGTTTCAATACTGCGTTCCTCCACCGTCGTATTGCAAACGCTTGCGCGCGCCGCCTCGGCACGGGGCCGAGGGGGGGCCTTTTTGTGCTTGTTGGCAGGGTCTCTGTGGGAGGGGCCCACAGCCTGGAAAATCCAAGCAGGGTTTAGGGTTTAGGGTTTAGGGTTAAGGGTTTAGGGTTTAGGGTACCCAAGCGGTTCGGGCAGGTCACACAGGCAAGGGTGGAGGGGGCAGGCTGTGTGGGGAAGGGTTGGGAAGGGGAGGCCAGATCCTGGGTCTCGGAAGCCGAGGCGAATATAAACAAGCTCTTTACAACTGACATGCTCCGCAGGCGCCGCAGATGCTGCTAGTACAAGCGTGTAAACCCCGTCTGAACCCGAAGCCCCAACTCTAGACCTTAAGCCCCGAGAAGTAGACCCCAGCAAGCCTTAAACCTTAAACCTTTAACCTTAAACCCTAAACCCTAAACCTGAAACCTTAGACCCTGAACCTATTTCTCTCGGCGTTCGCGGAAGGCTGCAGGACTATCTGCACCGCTTGAGGAGCTGGGCTTTCACACTGTCGGATACGGCTGCACAACTTGCATCCCACGCTGCAAGCTTTTTCGCAGGTACTCGTTGTAGGTTGACCTGGTGGGTTTTGGGGGATATGCCGTGTTTTTCTTATTTTGGTGGTTTATCAGGGTGGGTTTATGACTGCGTGCAGTATGGTGTGTTGTAGTATGCTATGGCGGGTCAATGCCATGTAGCAGGTCAGCACCAACGACTGGTTGCGTTGATGTTGTATTCTATGTTGTTATGTTAAAGTACGTTACAGTAGACGAAGGTTGTAGTAGGTCATTGTATGCTTTGTATATTACAGTTTCGTATAGTATTGGCCCATCAGGCTTTTGCTCCGTTTTGTGGGAGGTCAGGCTCCTTTGCACCGTGATTGCCTTCAGACCTCTGAGGATTCCTTTGTTGGAGGGCAAGCACGTGTAGCTTCATTTGGTTGCTAGAGAAGGAGATTTTTTTGGAACTGCGGATGTCAAGACGGTAGCTTTCCCACAGCTTTAGGGGTTCAGGGGTTCGAGGCTTTGGGGGTTTCATGGGGTGTTGGGGTTGTGGGCTGAAGGTTTGCGGGTTTGGGCTCCGAGGTCCAGGGCAGCGAGAGGCGTGGGGATATGGATGTGCAGAGGCTCCAGGACGCAAGTGAACTTCAGGTGGAAAGGAGCAAGCCCTAGACCCCAAACCCCAAACCCCAAACCCTAAACCCTAAACCCTAAACCCAAAACCCGAAACCCTACTCCTTGGTGCGCCCCAGGCATGGGTAACTCCGGGGACGTCGAGCCCGAAATGCAGGTGAGCCTAGGGATTAGGGTTTAGGGTTTAGGGTTTCGGTTTCAGGGTTTAGGGGAAGCAGTGTCAGGCACCGAAATAGCCGGAGCCGTTGGGTTCGGGTTTTGGGGTTCAGCATCTCCAGTCCAAGCATTCACTATTGAAGCAGCTTGTCAAGCTATAGAGAAATCGCCACCCGCCCAGTGGGTCCCTCTAAAGCCCAAGGCTAGCGGACCCGTGCCTATCCACGAAAGGTTGTGCCTGTGCCCACCCAAGGTCGTCCGTGCCTATGCCCACGAAAGTTTGTGCCTAAATGGCCTGCCAGGCACAGATTGTAGGCACAAGCTTTCATGGGCATAGGCGCGGGCTTTGGTGGGCATAGGCACAAGCTTTCGTGGACACAGGCATTCCGTGCCCCTAAACCCTAAACCCTAAACCCTAAACCTAAACACTAAACCCTAAACCCTAACCCTCAACCCTAAAACCCTAAACCCTAAACCCTAAACCCTAAACCCTAAACCCTAAACCCTAAACCCTAAACCCTAAACCCTAAACCCTAAACCCTAAACCCTAAACCCTAAACTCTAAACCCTAAACCCTAAACCCTAAACCCATGCCCACGAAAGTTTGTGCCCCTATGCCCACGAAAGCCTGTGCCCGTGACAATGCCCGTGACCGTCCGTGCCGATGCCCACCAAAGGCCGCGCCCACACATCCACCAGGGTTTATGTAACATATAAATATAAACATACATATATATATATATATACATAATACATATATATATATATATGCTACCCCCCCCCAGCGACCAAACCTTTTTAAGCCTTTTTCGGCCTTTTTAACAAAAAGCAACAAAGAAGGCCCAAAAGTCGCGTAGGTAATCACCGGGTAATGAAGGACGGTTACTGGGACACCCACCTCACAGACCCCGATGAGCCAGCATTGGATTAATCTACATTTTGAATCTGAAGCGGACAATGCTGTTTTTAGATGTTTAGATCTGTGTTTTTTCTATGCAAATTGTGCGTTTAAAAGCGCAATTAATGTTTTGTTGAGCAACTAAGTTATTTATACAATTGTGTTTGTACGAGGAAAAGTATTTATCAAATAGTGAAACATTTTTCTTTATTCTATGCGAATTTAACTACTAGAGTAATTATTAAGCAAAGAGCCCAATTTGACTCAAGTGAATACTATTTAAAGGAGCATACCCAACCAAGATACGAAATAGACACCATTCTCAACCAAAATATGGCAAAGTGTGCGTTTAAAGGGCAAATAATGCTTTGTTGAGCAACTACTGTATTTATACAATTGTGTTTGTACTAGGCAAAGTATGAATCAAATACTATCTGAAAAGTCCACTGAAATACCTTATGTTTACATATTCACGAAACTTTTTTTTATTCTTGAAATAACCATTCTATGCAAATTTAGCTACTAGAGTAAGTATGAAGCAAATAGCCCAATTTGACTCAAGTGAATACCATTTAAAGGACCACTTATATACTATGTCTGAAAAGCGCAATTTGCATAAGCAAGCTTAAAAACGCACAATAATGGAAATAGAAGAGGTTCTACTTACATAACGATGAAACAACGATGTGTGAAGTATTCAAGAAAGACCACTTATATACTATGTTTGAAAAAACACAACTTGCACAATCAGGCTTAAAAAATGCACAAGAATCCTAGAAAAGTACTTAGTGAAGGCCATGCACAAGCAAATTCACAAATACAAAAAAACATCCAAAAGCGCAAGCTTTTCAGGAGAATGTCTGGTGAAGTTTGGATTATAGGGTTTTGGGTATCCCTGGACGAGTAGGAGTCACTTTTTAAGCAAACAATTCTAAGCAATAAAAGCTTTTTCTCAAGACAAGTATTGCAAATGCTGCTTCTAGATAATTACTCGCTTTTACCAGGCAAATATTACCCATGCGAACTTAGCTACCAGAGCACCAAGTAATGGCTGAAGAAGGTCTACTGCACTTGAGTACAACCAAAAGATGCACTAAACACTAGTTGAAAAAAAAGCGAAGCGGTTCTACGTACATAATGACGAAACAAATGGTTCTGAAGCACTAGAAAGACCACTTGTATACTATTTCTGAAAAGCACAACTAGCACAAGCACACTTAAAAATGCGTAGTTGTTGCTTCCTGATCGTGAAGGCGAACCAAAAAGCCAAAATACCAAAACCAAAAAAACCAAAAATACCAAAACCAAAAAAACCAAAAAACCGAAAAAAACAAAAACGACCAATTTTCCGGAACTCTTGGAGAAGCCTCATAGGGATTCCTGAGAGTTCCGGATTTTTTTTTTTTTTGGGTTTTTTGGTTTTGGTATTTTTGGTTTTTCTACTGTCCCGTGTATGCGATTTTAGTTGTGTTTTAGTCTACGCCCTAGGAAATGCGCGATATTGCACACCGAGTTTGCTTGCAGTGCAGCAGGGTGACTTGAGACAAGGCGAAAAAGGAAGGTCACTGGGGGGGGGGGGGTACCATATATATATACATATATATATATAATGCATATATACATATAATACATATATACATATACATATACATATACGTATATATATATATATATATATATGGTGTAGAGAGGTTTAGGCTCCAGCAACGCAGTCCCGGAGCCCGCAACGTCTTCTGGGGCACCCCGGCTGCCCCCCGGGAAAGGTCCAACCCTAAACCCTAAACCCTAAACCCTAAACCCTAAACGAGCTTGGCACTCCCGGAGGCGGCTGCCGATAAGGGCATCATCACGGCCGCGGTGCTGTCCGGGAACCGGAACTTCGAAGGACCTTGTTTTTTGTTTTTCCTGCGTTCTTTGCTTTGGATTTAGGGTTTAGGGTTTAGGGTTTAGGGTTTAGGGTTTAGGGTTCAGGGTTTAGGGTTCAGGGTTTAGGGCTTAAGGGGTTCTAGATGTCTGTTTTAAACGTTGTTTGTTCGAAGGTTGTTTTGGACGAGGTGTGTTCTTAAAGGTTTTGGGGTTCATTCTTTAGAGGTTGATTCTTGAAGATGTTTGACTTCGACGTTCTGTTCGGCACTTTCCGTTGTTTTGGCGGTGGCGGGGGGGGGGGGGTTGGGGGGTGGGGGTTGGGGTTTGGGGTCGTTGGGAAGTTCCGGAGTTTCGTTTGTTTCCTGCCCTAAACCCCAAACCCTAAAACCCCACAGTAAAGGGTTTGACTAAGTTTTAACGGTGTTGGAGCTTGAGGGGCAGGGGTCTGGGGTGGGCCAGGTAGCCCAATGCTCCCAAGCCTCATAGCCCCCCATGGGGGCAGAAGGGTATAAGGGTATGAGGGTAGAAGGGTTGAAGGGCAGAAGGGTATAAGGGTATGAGTAAGGGTATGAGGGTAAAAGGGTATAAGTCAGGGTATGAAGGGAATTGAAAGTATAAGGGTAGAAGGGTAGAAGGGTAGTATGTAGGAGAAAGGGCTTAGGGGCCCCCAAGCCCCAAACCCCAAACCTCTAAACCCCAAACCCTAAACCCTAAACCCTAAACCCTAAACCCTAAACCCTAAACCCTAAACCCTAAGCCCTAAACCCCCAAACCCCAAACCCCTCAACCCTAAACCCTCAACCCTATGCTGGCGCCCCCCCAGCTGACGAGGACGAGTCCATCTCTCTGTGAAGGCCAACTATTTGGCCTCGCCGCCCCTTGTGGTGGCCGTAGACTGGTCCGCAAGGATCGGTTGGGAATTCCTAAAAACACCTAAAGCTTCAAAGGGTTTAGGGTATAGGGTTTAGAGTTGAGGGTTTAAGGCATTTCTCAGCCTAAAACGCAGAACCCTGCTTGGCAGAATTGGATTACGCCCACATCCCTTGTTTTTATAAGGCGTTGACTCCGGGGTCAACCTTCAACTGGCCCTAGACCCTAAACCCTAAACCCTAACCCCTAAACCCCTAACCCCTAACCCCTAAACCCTAAACCCTAAACCCCTAAACCCTAAACCCTAAACCCCAAACCCCAAACCCCAAACCCTAAACCCTAAACCCTAAACCCTAAACCCTAAACCCTAAACCCTAAACCCTAAACCCTAAACCCTAAACCCTAAACCCTCCATGGGCAGACGTGTGTTTGGACCGAGGCGGCCTTGGCTGGGCGAGTGGACATCGACTTTGCCTCGGAGGCTCCAGGGGCTGCTTTAGGGGCTTTTGAAAGCAGGAGCTTTCAGGGTTTAGGGTTTAGGGTTTGGGGCTAGGGTTCAGGGTTTAGGGTTTAGGGCTAGGGTTTAGGGTTTGGGGATTAGGGTTTAGGGTTTGGGGTTGAGGGTTTGGGGATTAGGGTTTGGGATTTGGGCCTCGGGGTTTCGGGTGACGAGCTTGGGCTCGAGGATGTTGTGGTTTTAGGGTTTAGGGCTTTAGGGTTGAGGGTTTAGGGTTTAGGGTTTAGGGTGTTGTGGCTTTTGGGTTTGGGGTGTAGAGCTTGGGCTTGTTGCTGTGCTTGTAGGAGAACTCGCCGGAGGCAGGGGGCTCCGCGGAACCCGCCAAGCCCTGAATCCTAAGCCCTCAAGCCCTACATCCCTTTTAGGAGTTTTGGGCTGAGTGTTTAGGGTTTAGGGTTTAGGATTTAGGGTTTAGGGTTTCGGGCTTAGGGTTTAGGATTTAGGGTTTAGGGGGGGGGGGGGTCGCTTTGGTTCCGAGCATGAGGACTGAAGGCCACTCGCCCTCTTTGCTGGAGGCACTTGGCTTGGACCCCGACGGCAGCGAGGCCTGATTATGTCAATAGTAGGGTGAAACCCTAAACCCTAAACCCTAAATCCTAAACCCTAAACCCTACACCCTAAACCCTAAACCCCTAAACCCGAAACACCCCAAACCCAAAACCCCAAACTCAGTTCTGGGCTTCAGGGCTTGAAGGGTCTAGCCCCCTCAAGGCTCTACCAGGGTTTAGGTTTTAGGGTTTAGAGTTTAGGGTTTAGGGTTTGGGGGAGGCTACTTCAATGGCCCCGTAATGTAAATCAACCTTCAACCCAGTAAAGCTTCAGCCCCCACGAGTCCTATACCTTGACCTCAAACCCGAACCTTAAACGCCTTAAACCCTAAAATTCCCTAAGAGTCCCAAGCCAGTAAACCTTAAACCCTGAACCCTAACCCCAAAGCCCCTAAACCCTAAACCCGAACCTTAAACCGCAAAAGGTCCAAAACCCCCAAGCCCGGAATGAGTATCAGCCCACCAGTCCTGGAGAGCTATAACCTCCCTCGCAGGTCTTCTTGAGTGACATCTGGCCCACGCCGGAGGACACCCCCGCTACGACTTGAAGCTTCAGGTTAGCGTGGGATTAAGGGTTAAGGGTTTAGGGTTTAAGGTTTTGAGGGTAGCTCTAAGAAGGGTGATCGGTACCCCCCCCCCCCCCAAAAAAAACACACATCGTTATGGCACTGAGCATTCGTATGTTGTCAAACGGATCTCGTAGCTTTTCTGGAAGCTGCTACTGTGAGTTTGTGCAAACTCAATCCTCCAGAGTAGTGAGACAGCACTTAAATCCTTTTGAACGCCCCTCTGAGTATGTTCTTCGGGGCCTTCGGTAGGGGTTGTCTGGTTTAGGTAAGTTTTAGGGTTCAGTCTTTGGGGTTTAGGGTCTGGGTTGCAGGGTTTAGGGCTGCAGTACGCACATGCAGATGACGGGTAGAGGGCCTAAACATTGGGTTCGGGTTTAGTGTTGCCATAAACCTAAGCCTGAAACGATAAAACCATAAGCCCTAAACCCTGAACCCAGAGATGGGCAGGAAGTGGCCTCGGCCGTGTTTGAGTTTGTGCGCCCGGAGTTCTTCCAGTCCGAATATTCGCGGGAGGTGCTACCTGCCCAAAACATCCTAAAACCCTCCAGCCCTCAAATCCCAAATCCCTAAACCCTAAACTTGGAGATTCTTGTTCAAGCTTCAAGGTTTGCAGGGTTTAAGGTTGCATGGGTGCATTTAGGGCTTAGGGGTTTCAGAGGTGCTTTAGGGTTGACCTTGAACCCTAAAACCGAAAATCCTAAAGCGCTAAAGCCCCAAAACCCTAACCCCTAAACCCTGCACCTTAAACCCTAAACCCTAAGCCTTAAGCCCTAAACCCTAAACCTCTCTTTACTTATGTATTCAGACCTTAATGACCTTAGTGGGCGGCAACATTTCAGCCAAATTTGCCTTTTTTATTGCCTGTTCGTGGGCAAATTTTGCCTGCTTGGTGGGCATTTTGGCCTGAAAAAAAATTTTGTCTAGGGATTTTTGGCTGGTTCGTGGGCATTTTGCCTGTCTCAAGGCGTTCCCCCCTCCCTTTCTTACCCCCCCTCCCCGCCCTTCTCCCCCGCCCCACCCGCCAACAAGGGCTGCCTGGTTTGGGATGCCCTGCCCTGCGACTGCCAGCTTTGGACCTTGGGGGGGTTCAGGCGAATGCTCGTCGGTGCTTTCGGTTCTTGTTCTGTTTTTAGAAATGATTTGTCCTGAGTCAAATTAAGGTCGACAACTCAGTTCTTTTGATAAAGACAACCATGGAATTTTCCTATGTTGTGGGGTCGACAACCCCGTTATTTTGATAGAACAAACCTATGATGTTTCCTATGCTGTGGGATCCAAAGGGTGGGTGGGTAGTTTTCGATGCCAGAGTCACGAGCTTGACTAGTGACTGCTCGGACTTGAGATGCTGAACCCTAAACCCTAAACCCTAAACCGTAAACCCTAAACCCTAAACCTAAACCCTAAACCCTAAACCCGAAACCCGACGAACCCGAAACCCTAAACCCTAAACCCTAAACCCTAAACCCTAAACCCTAAACCCTAAACCCTAAACCCTAAACCCTAAACCCTAAACCCTAAACCCTAAACCCTAAACCCTAAACCCTAAGAGGCCTCCAGCTCCTGGTCCGCGTTGGACAGCGCGGGGGGCAGCGCTCCTTTGCTGAAGACGGGCTCCGCACCCTGGAAGCCCTTGAAGTTTAGGGTTTGGGGTTTGGGGTTTGGGGTTTAGGGTTTAGGGTTTAGGGTTTGGGGTTTAGGGTTTAGGGTTTAGGACACTTCAATGGACGCTTGGGCTACTAAGAGGTTGGGGAATCGAGATCACGTGGGGTGACGGTTGGGTTAGTATAGGGTTGCAAGGAGTTCTTGATCATGGTTAGCAGTAGGGGTGTTTTTAGTTTGCAGGGTCTCAGGGGTTTAGTGGTTTAGTGTTTGTAGGGCTTCAAGGGCTTGTTCTAAGGCATGTCTGATTTTCAAGAGGTATTTGAGGTGTTTAGGGTTGAGGGGTTTAGGGCTTTATCCTTCTAGGGCTTTGGCTTTTTTGTGGTTTAGTGTTTCGGTTTGGGGGTCTAGGATTCAGTTGCTTGCGCGCTTTAGCAGGGGGTCTTGCTTTGTTTTTGAGAGTTTCGATGACCACGCACGCAGCCCTAAACCAAGAATTAAGAGGGCTTCGAATCCAATGTGGTTTACAGTGGTCGCCTCCGGCCCCCGCCACGCCCGCCCTCTGGAAGATGTAACCCTGAACCCTAAACCCTAAACCCTAAACCCCAAACCCTAAACCCTAAACCCTAAACCCTAAACCCTAAACCCTAAACCCTGAGGCACTTTCAGTGTATTGAGTCGTGGTGCTTTCGCTACCACCCCAGAACCCCAAACTTCCAGAACCCTCAGAGCCCCAAAGCCCTGGCGCTCCAAGTATGGGCCCTTAGTTTGGACCCCTAGATAGCCCTTACACTGTACGTAAATAAGGTCCCTAAACCCTAAACCCTAAACCCTAAACCCTAAACCCTAAACCCTAAACCCTAAAACCCTAAAACTATGTCGGATCTCTATCAGCAAGGGTAAGGGACCACACGAAGGGCCCATGGAGAAACGCCCTAGCAGCCGGCTTCTCAGGTCACCTATCCCTGGGACTCCAAGACGCCTGGTCGCGGCACCTCATGATGTCCGGGCTTTTGGTAAGGTTCAGTGAGGCCCTAAAGTCTAAACCCTGCAACCTAATTCTTTGTCATCGTTGGGTACCATTTTAATTTTTAAGGGTACTTAAACCCTATCAGGAATAAACTTTTAATTTTTAATATTATCCCAACCATGAACTAGAAATGCAGATTATAATCTTTGGGTTTCGAGCCTCAGGCGGCTTCGGGTTTGGGACGCAGGGTGCCTCGAAGGGTATGTCCATGGTGCGTAATTGCGGGGTTTCTGGCCCTGCTGAGATGGTGCTAGACTGTGGGACCGTGGGTCGTCTAGGGAATGAAGGGTTTAGGGTTTAGGGTTCAGGGTTTAGGGTTTAGGGTTTAGGGTTTAGGGTTTAGGGTTTAGGGTTTAGGGTTTATGGTTTAGGGTCTTGAACCCACCCCAAAAGCCTGAATTCTAAGCCCTCTCTGTTGAGGAACACCTTCATTGCGCCGCCACCGCTCCTGGAACGTCCAACAGGCGGACGGTTCTTTTAAAGCTTTAAAGACCAAACCTTAAGCCCTTAAACCCTTAAACCCTTAAACCCTTAAACCCTTAAACCCTTAAACCCTTAAACCCTTAAACCCTTAAACCCTTAAACCCTTAAACCCTTAAGCCCTTAAGCCCTTAAACCCTTAAACCCTTAAACCCTTAAACCCTTAAACCCTTAAACCCTCAAACCCTTAAACCCTTAAACCCTTAAACCCTTAAACCCTTAAACCCTTAAACCCTTAAACCCTTAAACCCTTAAACCCTTAAACCCTTAAACCCTTAAAAACCCTTAAACCCTTAAACCCTTAAACCCTCAAACCCTTAAAAACCCTTAAACCCTTACACCCTTAAACCCTTAAACCCTTAAACCCTTAAACCCTCAAAAAAAAAGAAAAACTGGGCTTCCTGAACCTCGGGGCTGCCCTTGCTTCAGTTTGGTATCTCCATGGGCTTTCTCAGCCCTAAGCCTGGAAGCCAAGCAAGCAACCATGCAAGCTGTTAGGGTCAGGGTTTGGGGTTTAGGGTTTAGGGTTTAGGGTTTAGGGTTTAGGGTTTAGGCCGGTAGGGTTTGTTCAAGGTTCAGGGTTATATGCCTGACGCAAGTCGCTTAAGCCATCTTGGTTGCGGGTTGGGGCAGACGGGGCATCGCTGCTCGTGTAGGTTGTCGCGTTGCCTTATCAATGCCCCAACTCTTTCATCGTACATATTTATATGTATACGCACACATCTCATGGATGTGTTATAAAGATGCATTGTATATGCAAGATGATATATATATATGTGTAATGTACAGTTTAAATTTTTGTTTATAGTATATATGTACCTGTATATGTATACGCAGATGCACATACAGGTGCACATGTAGAAACACCGTCAACCCCTCATCATGGTTTTCTCTATTACCCCCCCCCCCCCTCCCCCCTTTAGGGGAACCAGTAAACCCTAAACCCTAAACCCTAAACCCTAAACCCTAAACCCTAAACCCTAAACCCTAAACCCTAAACCCTAAACCCTAAACCCTAAACCCTAAACCCCAAACCCTAAACCCTAAACCCTGAACCCTAAACCCTGAACCCTGAACCCTAAACCCTGAACCCTGAACCCTGAACCCGAAACCCTAAACCCTAAACCCTAAACCCTAAACCCGAAACCCTAAACCCCAAACCCCAAACCCTAAACCCTGAACCCTGAACCCTAAGCCCTTCCCATGAGCACATGTCTAGCCCAGGTCCTGTTCGAGATGCCTACTGCCTGATGCTTCTCGGGGACTCGGTGACGACAGGTGCCCCCCCCTGAAAGGGGGGAGGGGGTCGGGTTCAGGGTGCAGGGTTTAGGGTTTAGGGTTTAGGGTTTGGGGTTTCGGGTTAGGGTTTAGGGTTTAGGGTTTAGGGTTTAGGGTTTAGGGTTCAGGGTTAGGGTTTAGGCTTTAGGGTTAGGCTTTAGGGTTTAGGGTTTAGGGTTATAGGGTTTAGGGTTTAGGCTTTAGGGTTTAGGGTCTGAGGAAATGACAGAGCTTCAGGTTCTGAGGGGTGAACCCTGAACCACCTAAACCCTCGGAAACCCCCCCTTCCGAGCCCTACAATCCCCAACACGCAAAACCCAAAACCCAAAACCCTAAACCCTAAACCCTAAACCCTAAACCCTAAACCCAAAACCCTAATTAAACTCTAAACCTCGGGGCTGAGTTTTCAGGAGTTCAGTATGTAGGGCCCATCATGCGGCGCCGCCTTGAATGCCAGTGTGTACCGTAAGGAAGACGAGGAACGAAAAGGCCCGAAGGAAGGGTGTGGGTTTTGTGGATAGCAGGTGTAAAGGTTGATAGGTTTTTGAAGTTTTCAGAGTTTTTCGGGTACAGGCTGTACAGTGTCTGACGTCAGAGGGCTTATGGGGCTGGAAGGGGTTTATAGGGCTTCACAGGGCCCACAGGGTTTGTAGGGCTTATGTGGTGTCTCGAATTTTTCGGGCTTATATCGGAGTGGGGCTTATGAAGGGGCTTAGGGTAGGTCGGTAGTAACCTCCAAGCAGAGAAGATCCAACCCCCCAAAACCCCAAACCCCAAACCCCAAACTCCAAACCCTAAACCCTAAACCTTGAACCCTAAACCCCAAACCCCAAACCCCACACCCTAAACCCTAAACCCTAAACCCTAACCGCGCAAGCCGGCAAACCCTTGTGCCCCTGAGAGACCACATCAGCCCGAACAGCGCGATACGAGAGGCTGGATTGCATCTGCAGGCGTATTTCTGGGAGGGTTTAGGGTTTAGGGTTTAGGGTTTGGGGTTTGGGGTTTGGGGTTTGGGGTTTGGGGTTTGGGGTTTGGGGTTTAGGGTTTAGGGTTTAGGGTTTAGGCTTCCCAACCAACAGCCCTCAACACCAAACCTGAAATAGTAAGTGCCTTGAAGGCACCCCATCTTGGAGCTTGAAAGTCCCAAATGAGCCCAAAGACCTTTTAGGGTTAAGGGTTTAGGGTTTAGGGTTAGGGTTTAGGGTTCAGGGTTCAGGGTTCAGGGTTTAGGGTTTAGGGTTTAGGGTTTAGGGTTTAGGGTTTAGGGTTTTGGGTTTTGGGTTTAGGGTTTAGGGTTCGGGGTTCGGGGTCCAGGGTTCAGGGTCTGAGCCTTGTTTCCCCCCCCCCCAAAAGCCAACCACCTCGAATAGGGAGCTGCGAGTACCCCTAAACCCTAAACCCTAAACCCTGAACCCTAAACCCTAAACCCTAAACCCAAAACCCGCAAGACCAGGATAAATAGAAACTGTATGCGATATCGTTCTGACGTAAACAGACTTCTTTTTCTAAACAAGCATGCGCCCCACAAACCGCATTGATCCAAAATGTCCCTGGAGGCCAAATGTTCAATTCACGTAAAAATGTCTTCAAAGATGTTCAATTACATAAACAAGGCTTCAAAGATGTGCAGGTACATAAACAAGGCTTCAAGATGTCCGATGTTCCTTAAACAAGGCTTCAACAGCCTGATAAGGCACGAAAGCACCTCAAAAGGCAAAGACAAGTACTTTCGCCCAAAACCCGCCCCAAAACTCCGGCAAGCAAAGCTCGCTCAAAACACGCCCAAAACCCTTTCGTTCAAAACCCACCCGAAACTTTCGCCCAAAACTTTCGCTCCAGACACGAACGCTATCTCCGAGGCAACCGTATCTACCTCCAAAGCAAAAATCCTCGCCGAAAACCCGCTTAAAACTTGCGCCCAAAGCAGCAAAAAAAGCCCGCGCAGAACTTTCAGTCGAAACCCGCCCAGGACTTTCGCGCAACACCCGCCCTAAACTCCGGACACGAACCCTCTACAATTCCTACAAACCCCATGTGAGGTAGTTGCTACCAGAAGGGGGACAAACCCTGAACGCTGAACCCTGAACCCTGAACCCTGAACCCTGAACCCTGAACCCTAAACCCCCTCCCCGCCCCCCGCCCCCCGCCCCCTCCCCAAATTGGAGCCAAGGATGGTCCTGCCTTCGAGTTCTTGCGGGCGGCAGGGGTGGAGAAGAAGGCCCGGGATTCCAGGGTTTAGGGTTTAGGGTTTCGGGTTTCGGGCCCCCCAAAAAGCCCTAAGCTTTGTACGCCCCAATCAGCCCCAACCCTGACCCCAAATTTAGAGCTCTCTTGAGAGGAGGGGCCGTGGGTCGATCTGTTCGTCTGTCATGAGTGTTCGGTAGCCACGACCGCATGGAACGGCACGAGTCGGGAATCTTTGGTTGCAAAGTTTAGGGTTTAGGGTTTAGGGTTTAGGGTTTAGGGTTTAGGGTTTAGGGTTTAGGGTTTAGGGTTTAGGGTTTAGGGTTTATTGTTTAGGGTTTAGGGCATAGGGCTTAGGGTTTAGGGTCTTGGGGTTTCGGGCTTCATAGTTTCGGGCTTGTTTGCTTCAGGTGGGTTCTGAAGCAAAGAACCCACCTGAAAGATGGAAGTATTCTTCCTGATTAGGGCAAGGTGGCTCAGACATGTTAGTAGCTTGAGGCCCCGAAGCCGGGTTGAGGGGAGACCCTGAAGCCTCGTAGTAGAGTAGGCAACCTTTCACCTTTTTTTGGGTATTGAAGTCCCAATAAAATCCAAAAGGTGAACCTTTGATTCCGCCAGGTTACTGGACAACTAAAGAAGTATTGCTGCCTTGAGCTCCCCCCCCCCCCCCCCCCCCCCCCCCCCCCCCCCCCCCCCCCCCCCCCCCGCCCTTAACCTTGTGGGGCCAGCAAGGAACCCTAAACCCTGAAACCTCAGCCCCCAAATCCCAAACCCGAAGCCCTGAGCCCCCAAAACCTTAAACTCTAAACCCCAAACCCTTACCCTTGAACTCTGAACCCTGAACCGTAAACCCTAAAAACCTAAACCCTAAACCCTAAACCCTAAACCCTAAACCCTAAACCCTAAACCCTAAACCCTAAACCCTAAACCCTAAACCCTAAACCCTAAACCCCTGAACCCTAAAGCGACGCCAGGACATGGGCTCCTTCGGAGCACGACGAGGCTGCGGGATTTTGGAGTGCGTCGGTTTAGGGTTTAGGGTTCAGGGTTTAGGGTTTAGGGTTTAAGGTTTAGGGTTTAGGGTTTTAGGGTCTTAGGGTTTAGGGTTTTAGGGTCTTAGGACTCAGAGTCTAGGCGTAGGGGTTTAGGATTTTGGGTGGTTTTAGGGTTTAGGGTTTAGGGGTTTAGGGGTTTAGGGTTTAGGGTTTTAGGGTCTTAGGGTTTAGGGTTTTAGGGTTTTAGGACTCAGAGTCTAGGCGTAGGGGTTTAGGATTTTGGGTGGTTTTAGGGTTTAGGGTGTAGGGTTTACGGGTTTAATTAGGGGTTTAGGGGTTTAGGGTTTAGGGTTTAGGGTTTAGGGACCTGGGTGCTTGAGCCCCTGAACTGCCTAGGCCCTTCGATCAACCCCCAAACCCCCAAAGCCCAACCCCTAAACCCCTAGTCAGGCTGAAGCCCTAAACCCGAAAAGCCCCAAAAGCCTAACATAGCTAGGCCCTCTAGAGAGAGAGAGAGAGAGAGAGAGAGAGAGAGAGAGAGAGAGAGAGAGAGAGAGAGAGAGAGAGAGAGAGAGAGAGAGAGAGAGAGAGAGAGAGAGAGAGAGAGAAAGAGAGAAGGAGAGAAAGAGAGAAAGAGAGAACGAGAGAACGAGAGAAAGAGAGAGAGAGGAAAAAGCAGTGAGCGCGAGAGCCCGCCAGAGCCTAGTTTAGGGTCGAGGGTTGCATCCTCTTGTTCAAGAATCCCTCCGCGCGCTTGAATGACAACTGTGGCACTGGAAGTGGAAGAGGTGGTTTCCCGCGAGCCCGCGGCAGTTGACGATGATTCCACAGAAGCATTGCGTGCAAGAGCGCGCTCGAAGCCCTTCGGCTCTTTGACGTAACTCCAAACCGCACACTCTTGGCTTTGGACTTGCGTGGGCGTATCCCGAGCATCGACCGCAACAAAGCCTCAGTCAACGAAGCTCTTGAAAACCTTGAGGAGCCCTACAGCATACTAAGCCCTAGGCCTGAAAGCCCTCAGCCCCAAGCCCCAAGCCCTAAACCCTAAACCCTAAACCCTAAACCCTAAACCCTAAACCCTAAACCCTAAACCCTAAACCCCAAACCCCAAACCCTAAACGGCCCATGAGTCCATGGCGTCCAGGCAACGCTTCGGTGATGGTCCGGGGGACCTTCGCGAACCCTCGGATCGTGAACCAGGCCGCCAGTTCTTGAGGGGGTTTAGGGTTTAGGGTTTAGGGTTTAGGGTTTAGGGTTTAGGGTTTAGGGTTTAGGGTTTAGGGTTAGGGTTTCGGGTTGCCCTGCTTTTTGGGGCAGTTTGGTTTTGAAGGTTTTCGGGGCTGCAGGCTCTTCAGGGACTGGGAGGTGCAGGGTGCTTAGGGACTGGGGTAGTGTGGAGCTTCTTTTGGCGTAGTGTATGGCCCTGCCAGCGTTTTTTCAGTTTGTTTGGGCTTCGTTTCTGTGTTGGCGGGCTTATTCTTTTCAAGGGAGGGGGGGGGGCTTAGGGTTCTGTAGGGATGTAAGGACGGGTTCTTACAGGAGGCAGTTTGGTTTGGGGTAGGGTTGAGGGGATCAAAGGGGGGTTTGGGGGGGGGGGGGGGGGCGGGGTGCGGATGTGGGGGGCGGTTCTGTTGGGGCTCAGGGGCTTGAAGCGTGTTCGGGGTTGAAGGGGTTTACCGGGGGCGTGTTTGGGGTTTTTAGGGTGTTTTTTGGGGGCTTGCTTGTACGGTTTATAGGGCTTATAGGGTTTAGTCGGTCTTTCGGAATAGGCTAGGGCTTAAAGGGTTTTGGAGTTCTAGGGCTGCTGTGTGTTTTCTTAATCGTCATTTTTCCCCCTACTACCCCCATCTAGCCATAGTTAAGCTTTCGGGATAATGAAGCCTCATGAAGGTTATTTCAGGCCCCCAGGTCCTTGAAGCCTCGAACCCAAGTCCCTCAAGCCATCAGAGCCCTCGGCACGAAAATGCCAAGCCTTATGACCCTAATCCTACAACCTAAGCCCTAAACCCTAAACCCTAAACCCTAAACCCGAAACCCTAAACCCTAAACCCTGAACCCTAAACCCTAAGCCTAAAGCCTCCAAAGCTCAAAGCCTGAGCCTCAAGCCCTAAACCCCGAACCTTGCCACTTATTCGCCTCCCTGGGCCCTTCCGCCCCCCCAATCAAGGGACGAATGGAGAGACCCTTATGAGGGACCTTAGGGGTTATTTAGGGGTTATTTAGGGGTTATTGAGGGGTTATTTAGGGGTTTTTTTAGGGGTTATTTAGGGGTTATTTAGGGGTTATTTAGGGGTTATTTAGGGGTTATTTGGGAGTAGGTATATAGGGACTACATAAGGTACCTTTTTTCCCCTTTCCAAGGCGGTCGACCGCAGTGGAAGTTGGGCGCTGCATGCGCCTCCGCGGCGAAGATAGATGGTTGAGTGTTGCAGGGTTTAGGGTTTAGGTTTAGGGTTTAGGGTTTAGGGTTAAGGGTTTAGAGTTTAGGGTTTAGGGTTTAGGGAGGTTCAGGGGTACTTCTATACGTAGGGTCATAAGTAGGGTAGTGATGGTTATCTCCCTATTTAGAGTACTTCAAGCCCTACTTATAAGTACCCATGAACCTTCAAGCAGGGCTTCGGGGTCTAGTGTGTTCCGCATCAGGGCGTCGGCGGCTTTGTAGGGCTTCGGGCGCGCACGCGAGTTGTAGATCCCTACAGCCACAAAGGTTCAGGGTTAAGGGTTTAGGGTTTAGGATTTAGGGTTTAGGGTTTAGGGTTTAGGGAGACCCGACGCAGTTCTTGGCGAAGCCTCGTGCCAGAAGCCCTCGTATGGTCGGCGCCATCAGCACGTCCTTTGAAGTTGTCCTGTGTGGCTACCCCTGAACTCCGAGATTCCTAAACCCCAAGCCCCAAACCCAAAACCCTAAAAACCCCTACAGACGCCGGAGGAGTGGGGGAACCCCAAACCCTAAACCCTAAACCCTAAACCTTCAACCCTAAACCCTAAACCCTGAACCCTCAACCCTCAACCCTCAACCCTAAAGGCAGGGGCCAGAACCCCTAAGTCCTGCATGCGGAGAGGTGCCCAGCGGAGAGGTCATCCATCCTTTCGATGCGGCAGCGAGGTGTGCTTCAGTGTTCAGGGTTTAGGGTGTTAGGGTTTAGGGTTTAGGGTTTAGGGTTTCGGGGGGTTTTGGGGGCTTTCTGGGATGCAGCAACTTAGGGTTTAAGGGTTTAGGGCTCAGGGTCTCGGGTCTAAGTGGTTTGTCGCAATTCCAAAACTACTCCGGCCTTGAAGCACTCAAGTTTTTCTGGTTCGCGATTTTGTCGACGTACCCTCGGCAAGACATCTCATTCTGGAGTGCAGGGGTTGGGGTTCAGGGCTTAGGGTTTCAGATTTCAGGGCTGCCTTAATGAAGGGGAATTAAAGACAGCTATTAACCTTGGAATGATGGACCAAAACTAATGTTGATCAGGTGTCAGCTATTTCCTGGTACTCGTTTCTTGGCTTCTTCCTGCTCACAGCATGATATTCATGTGGTGCGCAATGGTATAGCTCATGATTTCCTTGTGTACTTGCACCGTTCATATGGCTTCACTCCACCTACAGTCCACGTTATAAAGGCCGCCTATCTATTTCGGGCCTCACAGAAGAGTTTAAGCTTAAAGTTTTTCTTCCCTTACCTCCTAGACCCCCAACTTCTTCTGTGCCTGTGCAGGTACCAGAAAGAGGGGTATGATCTCGTCATCATTGCCGGGTGGCCAATCTGGATAGTTAGGGGTTTAGGGTTTAAGGTACTGGGAAGACAGTTGAGGCGCCTCCCGACTCCTTTAGGCATATATCGCGTTCAAGTGCATCCGCAAACCCACCTTCGGCACCCACCACCCCAATAAGCGCTACACTAACCTCAAAATCCTAAACACTAACCTTAAACCCGAAATCCTAAACCCTGAGCCTCCCAGCCTCTTACGGTAATCTCCAAAACCCCTAGACCTGAACCTCAACCGCCCTCCCAAACCCCCCAACGGTATCCCGGATTGAATCTGCTGAGCCACCACTTCCCCCCAGCAGAAGAGGAGTTTAGGGTTTAGGGTTTGTGGTTTGGGTTTGCGGCTTAGGGGTTCGGGCCTAGGGAGTCTAGGGTTTAGGGTGGAGGGTGTAGAATTTGGAGATTAGGTTGTAGGGGTGATGCCTGCTCGCGAACTTATGAAGCCTTAAATTCCTAACTCATGATTTATTTGCGGGGTAGATTTTGTTAAAATAATTTGTGTGTGTGTGTGTGTGTGTGTGCGCGCGCGTGCGCGTGTGTTTTAGGGTCTAGGGCAATTTGGGGTGCTGAGGGCCAAGGGCTGCTGTGTTGTTTTTTGTTGATTTTGTTGGGGGGTTTTCAGCTTGATGGTTGAGGGTGTTCGAGTCGAGGGCTTGAGAGTTGATGTATCATATTTTAGTTGGCTTTCACTACAGTTTGCTTAGGACCGCCCGCCACCCCCCCCCCCAAAAAAAAAAAAACAAAAACAAAAACAAAAAAACAAGCAACGAAAGATTGCAAAATTCTTCCTTGTAAGGGTGATAGTGGGATTATTATCTCTTATTTTGGGGGGGGTGTTGAGCAAATTTTTTTGGTTTTTCCCAAGCCAATCAGCGTCTTTCCCCAGGTCGGAATACGGCCAAGGCTCTGCGCGCGACTGGGCGGCAAAGGCCTCCTTTCTTTTTTTTGGGGGGTTTAGGGTTTAGGGTTTAAGGTTCATTTTTTTTGGGGGGGGGCTGGGAGGGCGGGGGGGGGGGGGGGGGGGGGGGTGGGGGGTTGAGTTTTGTTTTTCTGTGGGGAACGGGGTTTCCTGGGGTTGAGAGTTCCAGGGGTTCATGGAGCACCCTCGTACCATGCCATTTTTTAATGGAAACGCTCTCTTTCAGTACTCCTGAAGCTGGAGTGTATATGTATATATATATATATATGGATATGGTATGTATAGCTATATACACATACCTATGCATATACATATATATGTATATGTATATGTATATGTATATGTATATGTATATGTATATGTATATGTATATGTATATGTATATGTATATGTATATGTATATGTATATGTATATGTATGTATATGTATATGTAGAATGGGAAGTCAGTGGGGAGGGAAGGGGCAAACTTCACCCCCAAGACCCAAAGTTCTGGTTTTGGGGTGTAGGGTTCAGTGTAAAGTTTATGTGCCGAATGCCAAAAATCACAGCGATCACGACCCGAGTCAAATCACAAGTTGAAAGACGCCTCGATTCCGAGGCATCGATCCCTAACCTCTAAACCCTAAACCCTAAACCCTCAGCCCTCAACCCTAAGCCCTAAACCCTCAACCCTCAACCCTAAACCCTAAACCCTAAACCCTAAACCCTAAACCCTAACAACACCAAAAGCACTAACAGCCCTAAGCCTACAAGCCTCAAGCCCTGCACCCTAAACCCTAAACCCTAAACCCCAAACCCTAAACCCTAAACCCTAAATCCTAAACCCTGAACCCTGAACCCTGAACCCTAAACCCTAAACCCCAAACCCTGAATCCGCAAGCTCCCCAAAACGCCTTGTCTGAAGGGTACCGCCTTGCTGGGCGTCCGCGCGGTGCTTGCCGAATCCTTCGAGCGCATCCACCGGGCTAACTTGGCAGGCTTGGGGTTGAGGGTTTAGGGTTTAGGGTTTGGGGTTTGGGGTTTAGGGTTTAGGGTATAGGGTTTAGGGTTTAGGAGGGTTAGGGCCTGTTTGGACGAGGAAGAAGGAGGTTCCCCCCTCCCCCCCTCCCCCTCCCCCCATATCTCCCCCCCATCTCCCCCCCATCTCCCCTCCCCCGCCCTTCCTCCCAGCCCTAAACCCTAAACCCTAAACCCTAAACCCTAAACCCTA